AGTGGTGACTACTTTGTTATCAAACCAAGATACAACACTAATGACCTCACCATCTATAGTAGCTATTTTTTCAACTAAATGACCTCTTCCTTTTTTTTTCATTTCCTTCTCGGAAGGCATTGCAACTCCTGGGACTCGATTCAATCTCACCGTCCCTAAGGGTAGTATACCTTCAGTCATGAGTGGAACACTGGAGAACCAATTGTCAAAAAACAATTTGAAATTCTGATGTCTTGGTATAGATTCAGATAGCTTCACAACCACATTACTACTAACACTAAGAGCTGGAGCTCCTAGAGGTACAGTATTGCTTTGTGCTCCTGCAAACAGATCGAAATCATAACTAAAGCCAGATATACCGTTGAGGACAAAATTTTTGAAACCCCATTTATGTGGTTTCTTCAGATTATATTATTTGAGTTGTGTTCGAGCTTTTGTTGGAATAATCTGTTCATCTACAGCAAGATACTCTTCTTTCGGAACTTGCAGTAATATTTCTCTTATTTGGGTAAGAAATGGCCTAATCTTGAACAATTTATCGTATCCAGTTTAACTGTTTCCAGTCATGTCATCATTGTTGTTGAAGTGTAAGAAACGCTTTATCTCTTCAAATCTACTACAGCTCATCACGTTGCTCACAGCAGGATGGCCAATCGTATTATGCCAGTAATGCCTTGTGGCCGGCAGCTGAATAAGGGACATGTACATGGTAATACCAATAAATTGCTCTATTTCGAACTCTTTTATATTAGCAGGTTTATTTGGACGGCACTGTATAGAATAAAGGTTAGTCTGTTCACAGATATACTTTATAAGGCTATCTGGGAAAAGAAACTTGAAGAATTGGATAGGAGTTTCTAACTGTGATATAGAAAAAGGCAAATCCTGGGAACTAATAAATTTTATCTCTTCTTCAGTTTTTTCGAGATTTTCTTCTACCCAATTGTATACTTCTTTTCTCTTTCTCTTTTTTTCAAGTCGTTTTTGTATTGTTGATAAGGGTATATTATCATCTGAAGAATCAAAGTCATCAAATTCTTGATTCATGATACTGGCAACATCATCGTCTAAGGGAGTTTCTCCAAAATTACTATCCACAGGTAATTTAATACCTAAAAGGGGTTCATCATCCTTATCAGATAAATCGGAATCTTTACTATCGATACAAGGAATTTATACGGCAGTCATCTTGCCATAAAATACTTTGGGATCCATACCTGAAAACATGATCATATTGTCAGGATGATCCATCATTTCATGGTGTGCCATATAAGGTACATACTTGTTTCCAGAATTGTTCATTAGTTCTGAGAAACTTTTCACTGCTGAACTTACCTAGAGATGTTTTTAATATCACTGTTGAACACTCTATAATTCGTTCTCAAGTATTATAAATCAAATAATTTTCGCTTTGTACCATATTTGGCACATGATGCGGTAAAGGGCTAATTAAACAAACTTTTGATTCGATAGAAAGTAGCAAAATAGGCAGACAAAAACACTATTTTTCACCTAAAAATCTTTGCAAACTTCTACGATTAATGTACACTGACGAAAACAAATGTGTTCCATCTCAATAACAAATCTTAAAAATCATTCATTGCTATGTACACGCTTTGTTCATTTTTGCTGAGAGTTCTATGGATATTTTTAATTTACCCTCATTTCATCTTTTCCCTATTCCTGAGAATAAATAGGCCTCATTCATTTAAAAATCTCTTTTATTCTCTTGGATCGTAAAAGTAATTTTTATGAGAAGTCACATAATCTGCAATTGCAGGTTTAATTGCAAATGCAATTAAACCTGCGGAAATGGTTATCGGTTAAATAGTTCTTAAATAAATAGTGGTCATAAATCAATACGATCACAAACCAGTCTTCCTTTCTCCTTTATAGTGACTAATAAAATGCGCCTATTAATTTTTATATTAAATTCATGTAAATGAATAATAAGCAATATACATGTGGCCGATGTCAAATTTGAAAGGCCACTTTTGATGGGATCAAGTTGTAGATCCACGCCAACTGATAGCGCCGGCCCTACTAAAAGCTTTCCATGGGTAAATGCGATATTAAAAGAATTTTACACACTCCCGTAGGTAATTATTGGCGACTATATTTTCGGTGGATTGGCTCTAATTTCTGAAGTTGTTTCACAACTTTTGTTGAGTCGCGTGCAACCTAATTAGATTACCTCTTGGAACTGATTTCAGATAAGCACGAGTAAATAGCGGATTGATTCCTAAGCTCACATTTACAATTTAAAGTTTATCAGGATTTGGCTGAAAATTCTCATTGAGATTGATTGAATGTGAGAGGTTTGGTGATCCAACTAAATGAGCTAATATCATTTCAACCAAAGTCAACTTTGGGCATAGTCCGCAGCCTTGAATGACCAGATATTGGAGCTTATGAACTTAGTTTTGACACTGTTAAAGTTGGCCACAAATCTGGCACTAAGGTGAAACTCGTTTAGCAACAGGCCCATATCAGCATCAAGAACCTTGGCTTATCAAAGCAGCTGACCTTTACTTTCCTTAGCTCGAATGGACTAGAAGCGGAAACTGACTAATTCTTTAGCACCATAGTCTAGATGTATGCCTAAGAATTTAACTTCGTTCCAAAGTAGAATATGACTTTGTGGTATTCATTATTAGCGTACTCCCCTAACATCAAGCAGGAAATTGATTCATATAATTGTCGTTCCTGACTCTATACCAAGTTCCGTAGTTCAAGATTGTATTGACCCTTCACTCAGTCCCCTACTCCATATATTCAATATTTCTTCGAAAAGTTGTTAGTTCCTGACCTTTGGAAAAAAGCTCGAGCAACATTTTATAAAGTGTGATATTACATCAATAAAAAAGTAGATTCATTTCAATATCAAGCAATTTCTCCAAATTATTTGAAATAATATTATACTCCAATAATTACAGTCCCATACGAAATATCATATCAAATTATCAAATGAGCAGCATTGTAGGAAACAAGTCGTGCATAACCAATCTTGCATGTCTTTTACAATGTGTCTCTGAAGCTTTGGCTAGGAAGCTGCAGGTTGATGTCATTTATACAGGCATGCAAAAGCTTTTGATCAAATAGATTTCTTCATTCTTCTCAATCGTCTCCCAGAATTTGGTTTTTCAGCAAGTTTCGTGAAGCTCATATCAAATTATCTATTCTCGAATTCAGGACCTCTTTGGTTCTTGATTTTCATTAATAATTTAACTAAAATAATGAACAATTTAAAACTGCTCTACGCCGATGACCTTGAAATATTCAGTGATTGAAAATTATGGAGACTGCTTAGATTTACAGTACCTATGAATTAGATCTAATATATGATTGGTGTTCCAATAATCGTTTGAATCTAAACATTGCTAAATGTTATGTATTTGATATACTGAAACATACTATTATTCTGAATCTTCAATGTTGGTACTGTTCCAAATAATAGTATCATCAGCAAATAATGTAATGTAACGAAATCATATGTGACAGATCATTTACATAAATAAGGGAAAGAACCGGATCCAGAACCGAGCCCTGTGGAGCACTACGATTAGGTTTTTCTATTGTTGAAGTTATATTCGATCTTAGTATTTGACTTCGTTCAGTAAGTATGTTTCAAACTAATACAGGGCGAAACAAACTCAGAATGCTTCAGCATTTACTGTTGCAAGAAATGAAGAAGTTTGTCCATTGTATTGATGGAAAAGTTTCCTAAAATAATAGTATTGAAATTTTTGCAGTAGTATCCTATTCTGTCACTACTTCGTCATTATTGATTCAGGAATAATTTTCACAAATTATTTAATATTTCTGTGAAAACAATATCATTCTTGCCATAATGGAATGAATTATGAATGAATTGCTTTACTCAATACTATTCATATATAGAGATCGTTGTATTTGTAAATTGGTAATTGAATTGATTGATGTAGCCTACGTGGTAGGAAAACATAATGAAGAAAAGATAATTGAAACTTTCTATGTTTTTTATCACTTTTATTTGTAACTAACGTTACTGCAGTTTCATCCTATAAGAACTTACAGATTAATATACCCCGAAATCAAACAATCAGAAATCAAAAATTGGGTAACTCTCACATATTTTCGTAAAAGAACAGAGATAGTTGAGGGTTTCTTCAGAAAAACAATGTAGAAGTGGCATTCAGATCATATACCAGGTTATCTGATTTCCTTTTCAATGCCAAAGATAAAGTGGACAAGTTGGAGAAATCTGGAGTTTATAAGCTTAATTGTCCGGGGTGTAATAGTCTTTATGTGGAAAAATATGGTCGAAATTTCCAAAAACGATATGCTGAATATGAAAGGTCCTTCAGACTAGGTAAAAATGATTCAACGTTTTTAAACCATTCCTTGGCTTGCATCCACAAGTTCCCGAATCTGAACGATACGGAAATTTTGCACTATGCAAGGAAGGGTTGCAAACACAATTATTTGGAATTCTTGGTAATTCATAAGCATAAACATAGCGGGTGCAACCTGTTTACTCACCGGTTTTCAAGTTTGCATTGACACAAGTAAACAAAATTCAGGTACTCAATTAGACTAAGTACCTCTATTACCTACAGTGGTGTTATGAAGGGGCTAATGTAATCAATCATTTTTAGTTTAATGTATAAGTTTGAATATGTCCTTATAGTACGAAACTGCAGTAACGTTAGTTACAAATAAAAGTGGTAAGAACATAAAAGATTTCAATTCTCGTTTCTTCATCAATTAGTAATTATATATCAGTATTTGAACACATTTCATAGGAAACTTTTATGGAGTATTTTCAGATTCCAGTTTTGTAATTATTTTCAAATGATTCAATTCAATAATGAAACCACTACGTATTAAAAGATGAAAAGTTATTTTTCTGCAGTTGGTATCAGCTCAAAAGACCAACGTTCCAATATTTAGATATTAGAGGAGCAGAAGAAAACTCTGTAAGAAAAATCAGAACTGTAAAGGTTACAAATCCCACCATATCTCAACCGAAAAATTTATTGAAATATTTTATTGAAAAATCTCGTTTTAGAGGATAACATATTCGAAGAAGACTCAGATCCCGAATTGTTATTCACAACCGCTTGTAACTGCTGAGTGAGATCTTTTATCCTCTCTTCTTTAATTTTCACTAAGTTTTCCAAATGATCCACCTTACTTCTGAGCACACTAATTGTCTCTTCCTTAACAGCAAGATCTTTTTCCATTTTGTCGAAAATTTGGTTGGGGACCATTTTCCGGTCTATCACTTTGGTCCCATTTTTTATTTTTATTGGAACGATTCCCTCTCTGGAGGAGAAATTTGATCCACTTTCTAGGTAGTAAATCCTGCTGCTTTCGGTGTCGGTGTCTCCAGAGGCTTTGTTCTCCACTTTCATTTTGATGATGCTGAGCAGCTTCTCAATTGCGCCTGGCGTGCCTTTAGCTAGATGTTCCCTTTCTTCCGAGGATAAATTGATCTTTAGTTTTTTCAAAACCCTCTTGTTTATCATCTCCCAGTTCGCCAACTTCTGCGCGAAAGAATTCTTAGGACTGTAGTTGTGCAGATCTACTATCTTCGGGTAGTGGAATTTCAGTATTTCTGCCAAAGGAAGGGCGTCTGAGAAATCACGATTGAGGTTTCGTTTTTGCCTGGTGATTGTATGACTGTCAATCCATTTGTACAGATCATCGGAATCGAAGTTCATGGTGATTTTATTTTAGATTTCACGAAAAAATAGAATGTCAAATTTGAAAAAACAAACTGTCATCTTTTTGTCACTTCTGATGATGGGTGTCAACGGTTCTCAAGGTGCGTTTACATATGAGAGGATTGAAACTTCAGTAACGGAATGAATAGTATATTGAACTTCAATATGTACTTTGATTGAGGATGTGAAGTTGCAAGATGGAGATATTTTAGTATCATTTGATGTATCCTCGCTTCCACATTTCACTATACCAAACCCTATTGTATATTTGAGGATCATTGGTCCCAGTGGAGAATGAAGAAAATATCGCATATGACTAACGAAAATATGTATGGAACAGCAATGCGTCCAGTTCAACAACTGTTTCTGCAGACAGCACAAAGGCGCGGCAATGCGAAACCCACTGTACCCCTTCATAGCTTATATGTTCATGAGCATATTTGAATTGAAAGCAAAAGATGAGTTAGAGTAAGTTCCATGGACTTCTATTCTAATACAAAGACATCCAAAGTTGAGGACTTTGTATGAATTAAAGAATGTGAACTTTCGCGACCGGACATAACTGTGTGGAAGCTATTTTCCGGATTTTTTTGGCCATGGTTTGCAGGTTTTTATACATCATGTTTCGTCTACTACTGCAGTAGACAGTATCAAGCGGTGTAGTAACGGTTGCAGTGCCCAAGTTGGTGCTTAAGTTGTTCCGAACGTTGTGATTAAGATGGTGGTATTTGATTCTGGTTTGATGTTATCATGAGTGGTATATGATGATCTACTGCAGTGATTCTCCTCCTACGTCTTCAATAGATCACATATTGTGGCAATGAATGGTTTCGAATCAACATCTATTGATGTAACGTCGGGAGTACTACAAGGCTCCCAACTTGGTCCTTTACTACTTTTTATCTTTATAAATGACATGAAAAATGAATCAAATTATCCAAAATATTGTTGTACGCTGAGGACTTGTTTGTTTCCGGAAAACATTGTTGGCTCATGGACTCAGTGTGTTTTCTTCCATCTTTTCCACACATTCCGACAATTTATGCAATTCACCCAGGCTGAAGGTGTAATTTACTAGGATTTATAACCGACTTATCGATAAATGCAGGTAACACCAACCATCTGTTAATTGCATTAGTGGATATTGTCGGACATCTGTATGGGCGACATATAGATTCAACCCTCTGAAGAAATGTCGAGCAGATATAGTAAATAATCTTTTGGTGGGAAGAATCAGATCTGAAATGAGATTGGAGCAACAAAACGCACCTAATGTAAGAGAGCGAAACTAGGTTTGTTCGCTGGTTAAAAGTTAATCTTTCTGAAAAGCAAAGTGAACTTGAAAGTGGTTAGGAACAGCAGCCGCATGGCACAAATACACCAGATGACGTCACAGCGAAGGATTCTGAAGAAAATGGTATTCTTGAAACAATCGCGCACCATCTGTTGAAAGCACTTCTCACACCAGAACAAAAATAATGTCTCTGGATCGCGCGTTTCCCTAATCAAGTTAGCATAATAATTAGATGAGTTAGAATCATTCCTATGGCTATGTTATTGTTTTTATGTGTATCTACATGAACCATTACCTTACATAATAAGGGTCATTAAATTAATTTCTAGTATTTTGTTATTGTTCCTAATTATCGCACAGGCACCGCTCTCAGACCGGTGCCTGTGCGGAATTATTCCTTCGGAAATTCCTTCGGAATTTAAGACTGGAGCAAAGTTGAGCGAATATTTTCTTTCAGAAGAACCTCTGAATTCATCGCCTTCGGTACTTTTCACAGTGCTTTGTATGTTGCGCTACAGTCCATTTGGCTAATAAGAAATTCTCCTTGGTTACATTTAGGTGAGTAATCTTTTTCATTGGTCAAATAATAGAAAAAAAGGTCTGTGAAAGACACTCTAGAATTTGCATGCATGTTAACCTTTTTCATCTGTGGATTAGTGAATATTATGTCTTGACGTGGCTCTTCTTACCGTTAAATTTGTATTTTTATAGTAGACTGTAGGTTTGTATACTAAAAAGTAGAAATCATATTGCTATTTTTATTGCGCAAAAGTGCATTCTCTCTCAATCCATTGTAATCCTATACCGTTCATGGTAATAAAGCTCCTCTGTCAACACATTCCATCCTTATTGACTTTTTCATCAGCTGTGTTTATTTTATTCCTGCTACCTCATAAAATGGACCACTAGATTTTATCGGAGCTCACTGGCGTACAGCGATATTTCCACTCAATTCATGATAATAACAGGTTCATATTACTTTGGCATTTCTTATAATCTTCTTTAATATATCTTTAATTTTGCTGCATATTCGTTATTCATCAGGGATATGTTTGAGTTTTTTTTTAAGGACAAAACACAAGCACTATAGAAAAATCCTCAAAGTGCTCTCAGAGCGGTGCCTGTGCGAGAGTAGCGATTCACATTGGATTTGAATCGCTGGAGATTAAATCCATTTGGAACAACGTTTTCAGGAAGTTCATTCCACATAAACGCAGTTCTCCAGATGAGAGAGTTCTTAAATAGTGAAGTTCGAGGTGTACTGAGTTGAACCTCAAAACGATGAGCAGCTACAGTCCGTCGCATATTTCTGATATGTACCGCTATTGGTGGAATCAAATGTGCCAAGTCACTTGAAAAAATCTTGACAAACCTCTAAACTTTCTTCGATATTTCAGGCTATCAAGGTTACACATGATGAAACCTGCAACTTCAGGGTATCTGTATCTGTAGAGTAGGGAGGGTGAATGTGAGCCCACAGCACTTAGGCTACATGTGACTCTTTGTACATCCTCCCGAGGAGTTGTCCTCCTAGGTCATCGTCCATCCTGTCCTTTCCAGGAAGGTGGACAGGTCGCTGGGAGACATCTCCTTTATATCGGCAGCTGTAGGCCAAGACTCGCCGAACACACACTCTCTCATTGACGATAACTCCGGGCACTCGCATAGGACATGCCTGACAGTCTCATCTTCCTGTTCACACATCGTGCATTGAGGTGTGTCCACTAGGTGAACATGGAAGTGTTTCCTTAGTTGACAGTGGCCAGTCAGAAACCCTACTGTTTAGAAGCGTAGATTTTTCCTGGTCATCGCCAGATATTTCTTTGGCGCCAGCTTCCCATTATCGCCCAAGATGATCCTGACAAGATTGCATCCTTTGATTCCATCCCATCTCTTTGTAACATTTGGCTAGTTCCGCAATTGTCGAAGTCGTCAGGCCGTAGGTGCCACTGGGTCCTAAAATTATTAGTCCAGCCGCTTCCTTGGCTAAAGAGTCGGCAATGCGATTACCTTTACTCCTGTCGTGCCCTTTAACCCACCTCAGGATGATGTTATTATCTACCGAGGCTTTGGCTAAATCTTGGTGACACTCTAGTACTAGCCCCGAGGTTATACGTTGTCTGTTCAAGGCTAATAGGACTTGTCTGCTGTCAGTGCAGATTGTTATGTTTTTGCCAGAGATTTATTTCCTGTTTTTTTTTGTGGCGATTGAGATACCAGCCAGTTCTGTTTGGACCACGCTGGTATTTTGTAGGGTTTATCAAACACAAACCTGGGTTCAATCGCATCACTGGTTGCCTGCAGCAGAGGTTGCGAAGTAAGCGCTTCCCGCCATAGGCCCAGCCTCAATTGACCCATTCCTACTTCGAGGTTTACACTAGCCGTGCGCAATCATAACATGGACATCAACGCAACCTCCTTAACGTACAGGTCCAGAGGGGTCAGACCCGTAATTAATTCCATTGCCGTGGTTGGTGTTGTTCTCATGGCTCCTGTGATGTTTAAACAAGCCAGTCGCTGTATTTGATACATGAGAACAATACTCCAAACAAGGTTTTATCTGAGCTTTATAAAGCATCAAAAGTTGCTGAGGTGTGTACAGTTTTCTGGTTCGGAACAGTGTTCCAGGCTTTTGAGAAGCAGCCTTTGCAATTCCAGCGACATGATTGTGCCAAGACATATTGGTGTCCATTTAACCCCCAACAAACTTATCGAAGCAGAAAGCGGAATTGTCTGTTCTGGCATTATTTATTTATTTATTTATTTGACACTTTGGTACATTGAGTACATGAGCTAAGTCATAATTAAAAAACAAAAATAAAACTACACAAGTTGAACAATACAAAAACAATAAATATGGTTCACGTCCACAAACTTTCACAACATAGAAGTTTTATATAAAAAATCGGAGAAGCTCTAGCAAATACTCTCAAAATATCATGAAAAAGTGTCGTGCAAGAATTCCTCAAGACTGTAGTAACACTTCTGCAAGAGAAGTTTCTTCACCTCAATTTTAAAAAGTTTATCTGACTCGATTTTCCTAATAGATGCCGGCAAGTTATTATAACAGTTTGTTGTATTGAATAGTGGGGAGCATCTAAAGTGAGCCGTTTTGTGTGAGGGGGTTCTTAACAGTTTCCCATGACGGGTGTCTCTACCATGTATATCCGCATTTGTGACATATTCAGTTATATTGTTACGGGCAAAAGTTTCACACTTCAAGATAAATAAAGAAGGTGCCGTCAATAGGCCCTCTCTTAAGAAAATTGGTCTACAACTATCTTGAAAATCTATATTGAAAATTAGTCTCAGCAATCTTTTCTGAGCAACAAAAACTCGTGGAAATTCCCTTGCACATCCCCAAGAAATGATATTGAAGCTGATGTGAGAATAAGCCATAGAAAAATAGACATCCATCAATCCAAAATTATCTAGAGTGTTTTTCAATTGTTTGATTGAGTAATATGCGGAATTGAGTTTGTTGCAGACCTTCTGAATATGACCGCTCCAGGTCAAATTTTCGTCTAAAGACGTTCCTAAAAACAAGACTTCGCTGGAAGATCGAATACCATTTATTGTGGAAGAGTCACTGCTGAAATTTTTCCTAATAAATGATTTCATTGAAACAGATTTAGATTTATTCAGAATAAGTTTGTTACGTTGACACCAAGCACTGAATTTATCTATTATTTTATTTATTTTGTCTGACAACTCAACTTCGTTTTTGTCGGCCACAGTAATTGCAGTGTCATCCGCAAACATGGTTA